ATTTGAACAAGTATTACTAGTTCGGATATTATTGGAAGGCATTACTACTTGTCCAGCCGTCTATGAAGTTTCCAATATAACGAGCATTTTTGTAAGTGATAACGAGATTTCGCTCGACATAGCAAAAATGACAAGCGAAGCCGTCCAACATCACAAAAGTGGGGAAGAAAACAGTTGACTTTGGACTTGAACAAAAGAAGATTGTGGGAATCGGTTAAGAATCCTCTTGGGAGTCAGTTCAACAAAGCAGCGGTTCGTGGGGAGAAGCTACTCAAGTGGAACTTACATCTGACCAATGGAATACGAAAAGAAGGAGGGTGGTTCATTACAAAGTGAGTGGCATGATGAGTCTTAGCCTTGAAGGGTAGAACTGGTGGAACTAAGAGATGTAGTTTATCTGAACATTTTCGGTGGAAATAACGATAAAGCGGCTAGAGGCATGAGACGTTTCGTCTGTAAGTGACGGGTTTTAGGGCGGAAAATAATTCGTCACCTACAAAGACGCGGAGACGGTTTTGGATTCTATCGAGAGTGGAAAACGAAAATTAGGTAACTCCCGCCCATACATGAGAGCAGTATACTCCATTTTCGGCCTGATCTGAATCTTTTAAAGGTAGAGGATAGGAGAAGGAGTCAAGTACTTGCTGGAGCAGTACCGGAAGACGACCACTTTTGCAGCGTTTATGATTTTTTCTTATAATGGTGTCCACCCTGTACTAGGTCCGGGGAGACTCGAGAAAGTGGGTTACAGAATAAAAGGCACAGCTTATGCGGATCTGTGTGGAAGATAACAGGTTAAGATTGTAGTGTTCAGGGTGGGGGGCATCCTTTTGGGAGTCTGTTCCACAAGGCAGTGGTTCGTAAGACAAAGCTGTTCGAGTGGAAATTATATCTCACCAGAGGAATACGAAGGGAATGAAGGTAGTCCGCTCCAATGTGTCTGGCATGATGAGTCTTAGCCTTGAAGGGTAGGATTGGTGGAACTAAGGAATGTAGTTTATCTGAACACTTCCGATGGAAATAGCGATAAAGCCGCTAGAGGCTTGCGACGTTTCGTCTGTGGGAAATGGGTTCCAGGATGGAAAATAATTCGACATCTACAAAGACGTGGAGACGGTTTTGGACTCTATCAAGGCCGGAAAGCGAAGACTGGACAGCTCCTGCACATATATCGCAGCTGTATTATATTTCTCTCTCATCTGGTTCTTGCACAGGTAGGGGGTTGAATGTGGAGTCAGATTCTTAAATATCAGTACAGGCAATAGGTCATTTTTCCAGAATCTTTAACTATGGACCGTATATACGATTTTCACTTGAGATCTCGCTTGAGTTTTATGTCCCAATAGGTGCTCAAGGTTTCATTGAAGGAACACAGATTCATCATGATTGGTGAAGGTTGATGGTTTGCTTGGTGATGATGGGATGACATTAGTTTTCAACAGATTTACTGTGAAGAATTATTCGAAATGAAATGCTATAGAACAATTTTGGACATCTTCCATGCAGATCGCGTAATAAATGCCGCAGTACGAGACACCATCAAACAAGATTTCGTATTCTTTGTTAATCAAATGATGAATAGCCAGGAGGAGGAAAATGGTCTAACAATGTTACTGAAAGGATTAGATATCCATTCAATGCGGTTCAGACATTGGCCCCGAACCGGTGCATTTGGAGGGAGTTAGTCAGGTTCTCAGTTGCTCAGCGACCTTACGGCTTCTTTGTTTAGCGGCATATCAACTGCCTATGGGACATTTAATGCTGACATTTAATTTTCTTGGCAACACTAGTAATTTCTTTGACAAATGCATTCCTGGTAAGTTTTTTTGGTACACAAATGTTTTGTTGGTAATATTTTTTACTATGCAAATGTATTGCTGTTATTTTTATTATAAAAATATTGTACGTTCATAGAGTTTTGATACCACTTTAGATGTTTTCGATTACAGGCCTTGCTGCCGGATATAGTTCATCGTCATACCTAGGAGGGGTGGCCTTATAGCCACACACGGACAGACATGATGTTTGAAATAGTGTATGGTATTTTGTGTTCTCTTTAAGATTGTGTTTACGTCTTTGATTCTCATCATCTCAGCCTAATGAAAATGTCGTCTCACCTGGAGCGGTTAGCATTTTGTTGTACTTGTAAAACATTGGAAATGATTAGCCTTTTCCTCTCACCATATTTGATGACGTATTATCAGTGGATAATATACAGAAAATACATAAACATACATATCTATATAAAAGATGTGACAATACACGGAACAGCCCTGGCTTACTTTGTCATTGCTAGCACGTGTCTTCATACTCTTTAGAAGATAGTCATTCGTGAGATGATGATTCCATTTCTGGTTTTGCAAGTTGGTCTACAGGCGTTGAGATTTGTGAGAAGCAGCAGAGAATCTGGCTTGCGTTTTTTACGTTCTCTTATAAGTAACCTGGATAATAATCACCCACAGTTTTGTGGAGTTCGAGGGATCCGATCTCCGTGTTGTCAGCCGTGATTAGTTTATTAATTTTAGTCTTGAGGAGGCTGGTGACTTTGCTTAGTTAGAACTACCTAACCAGTTCTACCCACCTGGCTGTACTTTGTAGGTATATGTCTAGACACGAAACATGTTTAAAAACAAGGCTGGTTTACAAATTGTATGGATTCAACGGCCATGTAGCTCAAGACATAGGGTGTAGAAATACCTGGATTTAGTAATTCACCTCTTAGCCTTCGTTAATATACCCAACATAGAGAGAAGAAGACTAGGACGTAACCACCGCGGCTTGAGAGCAATCATACTCATTTGGTTTTGTTTGTATTATTGTTTAGAATGGAATTCCGTCAGTGTAATGTCTTTTTCCATTGTAAAAAAAATATAGTCAGGTATTGCTTGCTATAATAATGATATCTGGAATGTCAGCCATCGGATATACAATGAATAAAACAAACATTGATAAATAATATCAAAATACTACATAACATCTACTGCAAGGAATGTTGCATTCATATACAAATCGCCACCATATAAATAGCAGCGGATAATCAAAAGGATGCCGTTTGAGATCAAAAATAGAGTGACTGGGTTTCTAGCTGCAGTATAAACAATGACATTAATTCACATTCTGTTACTGATGAAAATGAATCAAACGATATTAGAGAAGAATTCTTTGAAAACACCAAAGTTGAAATCACCGAAGCGAAAAACCACATCATTCAAATAATCAACAAAGTAACTCGCACACAAAGGTCGGAAAGAGACCGACTTCCAAAAACTGATATGACAAAGGCAAGCAAACGTAATGTGCAAACATATCATGCTGCATTGTAAACATTGCTAACGGATAGATCACTCGAAACATCACAGAAGTAAATAATATCAAATCTGTAATAGGTTAATTTCAAGACAAAGAAGAAGATCAAACAACAGAATAAAGAGTGCGCTTAGAAGATTAATGTGCGAAACTGAGGAAATCAGATGTGAATTATTAATAATAGATGAGATTTCAAAGAATTCAAATGTTTCAACACGGAAAAGTAGGAAGAACAAACGGAGATATAAAATGTTTAAACAAAGCAACTATAAACAAATTTTTTTTTTTGCTATCCTCTGCCAGCCACAATGATGGAGAAAACACTACCTCGAACCCTCGCCAGTAAGACACGCTGCAAGAGCAACCACCTGAAGAAGGCCGAAACGTATATTAAATATGGCGACAAAGATGGGAACAATAGTCCGAATAATGTAAATAGTGTACATAATGCCCCATTTCTGAAATATAGACAGATACTGAATGATCCCAAGAGGATTTACAGGGAAATTGGAAAAGCAGTTATAGAAGTGAAAATGCCGCCATCTAATAAAGATGTGGAAACATTTTGGGAGAGCAAACCAAAGGAATATAATCCTAATGTAGAGTGAATCAAATAAGAATAAAAGAGAATGAAGACTAAACCTTTACAAGAATGGAAAAATATAACCAGAATAATATTAGAAAAGCTGTAACAAAATCCCCAAAATGGAAATCCCTAGGAAATGACTAGATTCGCATCTTTTGGCTCTATCATCTATCATCAATCCATAAAATTCTTGAGAAAATCATTGTTACTTAATAACCCCAATGAAATTCCAGTATGGATCACTGAAGGTATTACATATATACTACCAAAACGTGTGAAAACTATAGGCCAATAACATGTCTGTCCATCACATATAAATTGATCACGCCTGTCCTGACTTTTCTCGATAAAACAACATTCCTCCCTGGAACGAAAGGAATGACAAAGAGGATCATATAATTGGAAAAATACAGGAAAAGGGTAAAAATATCAACACAGCTTGGATAGATTACCGTAAAGCCTTTGATAATGTGCCACTATCTTTGATACTTAAGACATTGAAAATGTACAAGGTCTTCTTGGTGACACGACGTTAGCATTCACTGAATATAAAACTCGGCATGATAGCGTGGGCCAATATCTACATGGAAAACCTGCAACTTCTACGGGAAGGAAACTGAAAGAAATTGATATGAACATCACCTAGACATAGGATTTGTTAAAATTTTATGAGACTTTACAATACTCACAGGCAAATCAATCAAAGCTAATCGCCCAGACATTGTGATCAAAGAACACAAAAACAGAATTGCAGTTTCTACAGATGGTAATGTTTCTTTGAACATCTTCAAAAAGCTATCAAAATATAAGAATCTTGAGGTGCAAATCTAAAAAAAGGTGGCCCATGAGGACATCAATAATTCCAGTTGTAGTTGGAGCCCTCGGATTATATTGGAACATGTTCCGATGGACTCAATGAAGGGATTCCTGATAGTCCATGAGTTAAAGAAATAGAAAAAATTGAGCTCAAAAGTACAGCTCACGCATTACGAAAAGTTGTATCTATGCAAAATGTGTGTGATCTTAGGTTTTTGATTATTTTTTTATAAAAATGATGAGTTGAAATATCTATGTAAAATATTTGTAACGTTAAGTTGTAAATCTATTTATGATCTATCTATCTATCTATCTATCTATCTATCTATCTATCTATCTTAGTCTTGTCACTATCTATCTTAGTGTTGTCCTATCTATCTATCTATCTATCTATCTATCTATCTATCTATCTATCTTAGTGTTGTAACATATATCTATCTATATCTATCTATCTATCTATCTATCTATATATATATATATATATATATATATCTGTCTATCTTAGTCTTGTTATATCTATCTATCTATCTATCTTAGTCTTGTCATCTATCTATCTATCTATCTATCTTAGTCTTGTCACATCTATCTTAGTTTGTCAGATCTATCTATCTATCTATCTATCTATCTATCTATCTATCTATCTATCTATCTCTTATAGTACTTATGCAAGTTTCTGTTACTTTTTTCTTATATATCTCTTCTCAGTTTGTTTATATCTTTAAATCTACCTTAGATACTTCCCGTAGATCGATATTTAGTAAGTCTATGTTGGACGCCTTCGCTTGTTGAATGATGAGAACAACACAGGTGCCTCCAAACTGTGGGCTTCTTGCGGACTATTGCAGTGTATCCCATTATCTTATCCAGTTATTTCTGCTTCTGTTATTAGGATATATCGAAAGTAATTTCATTTTTACACACCGTTATTCTAAGCTTGCTTCAGGTACACATTTAAGAACTAAGTATGACACCATATTATTATAATAATGATATATATATATATATATATATATATATATATATATATATATATATATATATATATATATATAAAAAGGGTGTTTCATTAAGACGGATTATATATAAAGGGTATTTCTTTAAGATAGATCAAAGTCAGCAGTAAATATATGTGGTATTGGTGAAAATTTATTTTTCTATTGGATCATGTTATTTAAGTCATGCCAATTATGTGCGAAAAATAATATCGCCCCAAATGTCCGCCAGATCCGAAAGAAAAAGAAAAAAAATCATTAGACGCTTAAACTTTTCGTGTTCACGGTTAGGCAATCCGTATTGCAGCTGCTCGCTTAGGCTCATTTTTGTTTGGTCAACACGCACAGAGCCCACCTGTGGTTTATATAGCAGATCTTAGTTACAGATTCTGGGAGAGAGCGTGTCATCTAGCGTGATCAACAAACTGAACAAAGCCAGCACACTGAAACCCTCGGCCACCATGACTTGTTACTTCGTGCTTACACAGCTAACGACGGCCTCAAGTGTTCCGTCTACGCAACTTCACTCGCAAGTCTTGGGTCAACCCGTAGTATGGTTTTCAGGCACTTTTCAAAGGTGCTGCACGCTGAGATCTCCCCTATATATATATATATATATAAGGTACAATCTGTGGAGTTAACCTCTAAGATAAGACATCTAACATAGACCTGTTTAACAAGTGCAATATTGGAGCAGCAACCGAGACTTTTCTCTTACAGTCTGAGTTACGGTGGACTGGTCATGTCTTGAGAATGTCTGATGACAGGATACCCAAGGTCAAAATGCACAGGCAGTTAGATCAGGGCTATCGTAATGTAGGACGTCCGTGGCTAAGATACAAAGAAAAGCTGAAAAGCAAGTTGTCAGCTGTCAATATACCACATAACACCCCTGAGCGCTTAGTTTTGGAGCAGGTAGAATGGGGATCAACGTGTTTAGTGGACTCAGCAGTTTTCAATCTGCTTGTCTGAATCATCTTCAAGAAGCGAGTGCAAGAACTAAAAGTCAGCCAATCTAACAGTGATCTTATCTCGCAATCTTCACTCTTACTCCATATATGGCCTCCTTTGTAAATCCCTAGCGGGTCCTAAATGGCACTTAAATGCACAAAATTTCATAACTGAATCAACTAAGTTGTCAGATCCTCAAGCGTCGAAACCGACGTGAGAGTCCATTATATATATATATATATATATATATATATATGTGTGTGTGTGTGTGTGTGTGTGTGTGAAATATATAGAAAATAGGAAGTAACTGGTTAGGTAAATAATCCAAGGTTCCTTAGTATTTTAGTTATTATTTTTAAAAAATAGTGCTCGATACAAAAGTAGAGCATAAATATAATTATTTATTTAAAAATATGATTCCAACTCGCGACATAAGAGGTCTCATGTTTCAAAACAAGAGCCGAAATCTTCAATATAATTATTTGAATTAAAATTGAGTTAAAGTAAGCTCTGTTCCATCTTCAAGCGAAATTTTTTTTGGAGTAACGTATTTCTGAAATTTACGTGTTTTAATAAATATATATGCAGTACGTATGAACCCGTAGAAAATATAAAGCTTATTACATTTGTATTTGCATTTATTAATACGCCTCCTAAGCATTCTTCTGACTTCGAGAAAGCCCATGTCGACTACCGACAAGGAAGACAGAAACTTGTTTGGTCAATGCAAAAAAGATTCGCAACAGAACAAGATGTTTCCAAAGCAGATAATTTAGCGCTTTCTTCAAAAACAGAACGCAGGCATAAAGCAAAAGATATTTTTCCAAATACATAAAAAAGAAACATTTCGTATCTGGACAAAAAATCGACGGTCACGGTTGGTTTGGTGTAAAGCTCATTTACACTGGATTAAAACTGATTGGGAAGATGTTATGTTGAGTGACGAGAGCCCCTTTACTCTTAGATATGAAGAACGAATACATGTTGGGTGTATGCCTGGTGAACCGAATACTCCAGTGACTACCAAAGGCATTATTAAACACGATAAAAAAAAAAACAATCTACGTTTGAGGTGCATTCTCAGTAGAAGGAGCTTGTAATTTGTAGAAAATCAAGGGAATCATAGACCAGCATCAAAACCATAACATTCACTGAATTCTATTAAAAACACAAAATCGACTTTCTATTTGTGCGTACATTTTTTGCTTCGTACTCTCTCTCTCTCTCTCTCTCTCACACACACACACCCTCTCTCTCTCTCTATATATATATATATATATATATATATTGTTCAAAATTTGTAATAATTATTGGAGAAAAGAGATCAGTATCTAAGGCAGTGCATTTACAAATATCAACAGAGTGTGCATAATAATTAACAATTGTGTCTTCCTTTATCACAGTGAAATGCGTTCAGAAAATTATGTTGTCTATATATATATATATATATATATATATATATAGTTTATGAAAAATTAGGTAATCTGTATGGGTAAACTCCGGGAGGATAAAATCCAGAGAGCTTAATGTAAATCCAGAGCAAATAATTTAAATAAAAACAGACGACTTTAAGGTTCCATGTAATAAATTATTTCACCACAGCCCATTTCGAGGACTGCGGATCATCAGACTTTACTTCCAAATAAAAAATGAAAAGAAAATTTACACATTTTTGACGGGCAGTTTTAAACATACGTAAATTAACGAAGTGAGTAAGTGAGGTGGGGGAGAGAAGATATGAGTGAGTTAGAAAGTACATTAAAAGAAAAAAAAGAAAACATTTTATTTTAAGTTTACTTCTAGTAATCTTTTTTATCTTTTTAAAAAATTTTTATTATTGATTATTAAGTTGACATCTCTATCCGTTTGAATTTTGTTCATGAATTTAACTCGTGACTGTTCCTAGTTAGGTAATCACTTTTACTTAAATTTTAAAGTTAATATGGGGTAATATTTGAAGGTAATATTAAAGATCTTTCTCTGTCATATACTGTAAACACACCCATGCAAATCTCACATATACACACGTTCCTTTACATGTGCAATCACTCATACAGGTACACATGTACCGATATACATAGGTAATTCCATGTAGTAACACCTACCTAAATATAAAAAAAAATTCCAATTTAAATATTTTATAATCAATAATGATTATTAAAGGGTAATATATTTCAATTTAAATTAAATTATCAATTTAAAAATTTAGCTCCATATTATAAAGAATTTTAAACTCAGACTTCCAATTAGAGAATATGAGAGGGGAAATGAGATAAAACATTGATAACAGAACTGTAAGTCCTTCTTTTATAATATTCTATATATCCATAAATATACACATACACATATACACATATCCGTACACATACACATATACATATATATATATATATATATATATATATATATATATATATATATATATATATATATATATATCACATATACACATACACACACATATATATGTATATATACTCATGCATACACACATACATATGTAGATATACACACAAATATATACATACATACATACATATACACACGTATATCCACATATATACACACATATATATATATATATATATATATATATACCCATACATACACATACATATACACATGTATACATATACACATACATATATACACATACACACATATACATATACACATATACACACATATAAACATACACACACATACACAAATATATACATATACATATATACACCCACATGTGCGTGCATGCAAAAAACATATCAAAATCCATACTTAATTACGTTATAATATTTATATTCTCCCATATTATATATATGAACTCACAAATTCTTACATTTATACATACATACATACATACACAGACTACCTGCCATCCCATATGAATATATATATATATATATATATATATATATATATATATATCCCTACCTCTCTTTCCAATTATGTCTCTGTCTATCTGTCCGTTTGCATCTCTCTAATTGTCTGTCTCTCTCATTATATATATATATATATATATATATATATATATATATATATATGTGTGTGTGTGTGTGTGTGTGTAATTTAAAGAAAAACAGACCACTTTAAGGTTCCATTGTAATAATTTATTTCACCAGAGAATGTTATCCTCCTCTGGATCCTCAAACTTCACTTTCAAAAGGTGAAACGAAAAATGAAATTAAGATTTACACTTTTGACGGGCAGTATTGAGCTTATATTAGTTGACATAGAGTGTGGTGAGGGATGGTATGAGAAACATGGTCGATTTTAGAGAGGGAAGGGAGAGTTTTGAGATTTATTTTATATGTAAGGATCAGCCATTGACATACTTAATCCGTAAATTCAGCGGAAATGATATGGAAAAAGGAATAGGAGAAAAAGGGGAAAAAGTAAAAAAGGGTGAAGTAAAGTGAAAAGAGATTTACGTACGGTTTTCGGAGGAAGAAGAGGAGTGGTATACCTTTAGCAATTTAGATAAAAACAGATTTTAACGTTTGATAGTAATTTGAATGTTTAAAAACTCGTCAAAGAAAATAAATTTGATTCTTGTTAGTAATTTAAATATCCAACTTCTCCACAATAAATATATATATATATATATATATATATATATATATATATATATATATATATATATATATATATATAGAGAGAGAGAGAGAGAGAGAGAGAGATAAATAGATAATTTATTCGAAAATTATAACATATGTT